TCCACGGTCGCATGGCCTTTAACCTTGAAGATGTCGAACCCACCCCCCCAGTCGTCCACCAACCGCCAGAACTCCCTCCAGAGATGGGTGCGCGCGGCAACGCAAGCGGCCGTAGCCACCCGTCCCCGCTCGCGGAAACCATCCACAACAAGAGCAGAATCAGTGAAGATGCGGACAGGTGGTGTCGCAAGCCGCAGGACGTGAACGACAGCAATGAACTCAGCTGCAAACACGCACTGCAGCGGGTCAAGCACAGGTCCTGAACGGAAGGCGACCACCTGGTTCCGATCAGGATGAAGCGCCACACGCCCCCAACCAGCACTCGCTAGACTCGGATGCTCTGTTTCAAAAACCGAGCCGTCAGGATACACATCGCCAGTGAAGCAGCCTGGGCCTCCAACCCCCAAACAGACGGGCTGCCCGAGCGGCTGCCTCTCGAGAACAGGAAACGGCACTAGACAGCGCTCCGCAAACATGAGGGCAAGCGAGGACTGCACAGCTGCCTGCGCCGCATTGGCTCTGAAGGCAGGGGCCCCGTCAAGGCTGTCGAGGCACGCGCGCGGACAGTGCCTATGCAAGAGCGTGCTTTCGGCGGAGGGGCACAACAAGCGCGCAGCCGTGGCGTCGTTACCTTCGGCGCACTGGCGCTTCTGAAGCCACTGGCCTGCCACGATGGTGCTACGCAGGGGGCCCTTCTGCTGGGCCGTGAGCTTACTCCTGCTGCCAAGCAGGGCCTGCAGGGGGCTCGGGATCAAACCGTTGTCGAACTCACGCTGATCAAGATGGTCAGCAACTCTAGCAAACTGCCAGCGCTCCACCGCACGAAACAAGAGCTCCTGGATAGCGACAGGGCAGTAGCTGATGGGGTTGATGTTGGCTCCATCAGGCCAAATTTCAAGAGGTAGCTGGAGTAGCCGCGATGCCAATCCGCTGTCACGAGGCCCAGAGAGCTCCGAAAAGGACCCCCTGATAGAGGACCAAGGGTGCTCCGGCCCAGACAGGTTCCCATGAGCCTGACGGATCCCGAAGTCTAGCGCGCATCCCTGGGAAGCCAGGAGTGCCGCAGGGCATGGAGGAAGGCCTTGACGGGAAGCCACGTGGCCCTAAAGATGGGGTCCAGACGGGGCACAGGAGACAGGAGCAGAGCCGAGGTGCGAGACTTGCCATCCTGGTGATGGTCTTGCAGCTTCCCAGCCGCGCCTCGAAGGACCTCCAGCTCCTTGCCATTCGTGCCCATGACCGAAGCCCCAAACAACACCGAGGCCTCCAAAGACGCTCGAGTCATACGCCCGAGCACACGGCGACGGGGCTTAGAGCCCTTCAGGAAACCCACCCGAACCAACCTGGGCCGCATGTCAGAAACGCGCCCACGCACGATGCCACGGCTGGCCACCAACCCCGCGCCGAAGTCCACGCCGAGGTTGCGCCCGGACCGTACGGGAAGGGGCTGAAGGCTCGTCAGCTTACGAGCGATAGCGTTCCCCGCCACCGCCGTATTCCCAGGAACTCTGGACTTGTTCAGCGCGATGCGCAGGTCGACCCTGCTCAGGCACCGGGCAAGCTGCTCGCCTGCCGCTGAGATGTCGTCGACGACTCGCGACTCCGCGCCCCAGCGCATGAGGCCGAAGTCGTCAACATTGACCGACAACTGTACTGCGGGCCGCGCGGCTTGCACAACATTCAAAGGGCCTAGCATAACCAGTTGTAACACGCGCGTGGCAAATGTACACCCTGGAACAGTCGTTTGCCCAACCTCACCCACAGCATCCAGGACCCTGGGAGCCCGATAAATCTAAACCAGCAGGTGCAATTGCCACAAAGGGAACGCGGTCGCCGCCGCAGCGTCGATCACGTGATGGTGCTGGCCCAACTCAAAGGTCTTAAGATCTAACAGAAGGGTCGCACACGACCTGGCCTCATAAGTGGAATGCTCCGACGAAGCCGCCTGAATCCAGACGCAGTTCTCAGGGGACCCCCCATGAGTGGACCAGAAAAAGGAGCGAGAATTGGCCAGCCGCCAGGATCGAACCAGAGGACGTCTCAAACGACACTGCACACTAGCCAAAACATGCAAGAGGCCCAGGGACCTGACCCCCCCAGCTCTCTTCAGGATGAACACAATCCGATTCCACATAGCAGGCCACTCACGCCCGTGCCCCACATGGTGAATGATGTCACACAGCGCCTCCAGGGCAAGTGGCGGCAAAACAAAAAACGAACGGGGCTGGATCTGATCAAACGCCGCTGGAGAGGGGGGGGGCTGCGCTCCAACCTGCCACCACTTTTTCCACTCGACCGACTCAAGCGAGGTGCAAGGCCGGAGGGTCCCTTGAAGAACAACTTCGATCGACTCAAGCGAGGTACACGGCCGGGGGGTCCCTTTGAAGAACAACTTCGAGCTGCCACGGACGGGGCGGGGGTGCTCGAAAACTGGCACAAGGCTGACATACCCCCAACAGTGTGAGAGTGTTCCACTATGTCTCCTTCGCCTGAGCACAGACCGCGCGCGCCCTCTTGGCCTCGCTGTCGGCCATCTCGGCCAGGCAGGCGGCGCTCAACGAGGGGGGGGGAGTGAACGTACCTCAGCATCGCCGACCGCGCGGCGTAGTCGGCCGTGCCGGGCAAACGATGGAAACGAGAAAGACGGCCAGCGGCAGCAACTAGCTGTGACCTGAACGGGCCTGTCGGCACACGGCTGATGTCAGCCAGCAAATTGCGCACCTTGCGCCACCAACAGGCGATGGGAGAAACCTTCGGAAACCTCGGCGGGGCAGGCTTGGAAGGGGGTTTTCCAGCGGACACGGAGAGGTTGATCCCTGCCCACCTAGCCAGCGCACAGGTCCCCAAACATCTGGAAACAAAAAAAACATAGAGCCAGTGGGCCTCAGCGGCCATCAGAAAAGGCATCTCACTTTTCCTGGGGCAGGAGGCCGGGGTCGCAACGCACTTGCCCAACCTGCTCCCGTGGGTCAACTTGTGGGCGGGGGGGGGGCAAGACCGCCGATGGGGAGCTGCGTGGGGAACTTCTCAGGAACCTGCACATGCCTCACTTTACAGAGCGGCTCGACCGACGGGACGACAAGCCTGACAGGAAGGAGAGGGGATATAGGAACATTGCGCAGTACTTCGGCCCTGGCCTGACCTGCAGTGTGGCGCGAAACCACGAAAAAGTCCATGCGCCCCAGGGCTGGCCTGCACGTGCCATGCTCGGGTGCGATCACCACGACATCCATGGCGTCGGCCCAGGACGTCTTCTGCAAATCTTCAACCGTGAAGTTCCGCCACCGACGATGGAGGGCAGCCCAGCGGTCTTCAGCCTCGCACCCACGTTGGACAAGATAGCCCAGTTCTGCTCGTTGATACCGACCGAATGAACCAGGTTCAAATTGACGACGTGGAAGCGGCCCTTGACCATGCCACCGACATGATGCAAACTTAGCCGCGCGAGCAGGAACAATTGCCACGTCAAAAAGAACGAGAGGCGCCAGGCCGATCCTCTTCACGGCAGCCGTCACCAAGCCCCCTGAAGGATTGCCAAGCGTGGCAGTAGCAGTACACGTGGAGGCCGACCAGCCAGCCCTGCGCAGCTTGGCCTCCAAATACATAGACGCCCCCTTCAACAGAGACTCCTGCAACAGCAGCGCATCACTGCAAATGGACTCAGACAAATACGCATCTACGCCGACCTGCCCACCGACATTGGCCGTGATGACGGACCACTCCTTTTTGCGCTGTCGGCTAGGGGCACTGCTGAGGAAGTGGCGCAGGGCCAAAGGGCGTGCGCTTAAACTTTTCGCATACAACATCGTTGAGACCACCGATGATGTTGTCACACTGTTTCCGCGTGAGACCGCGCGCCGAGAGAAACTTGTCCCAGCCTTCGTCGGTGGCGAGGTGCCGCAAACCAACAAAATTCAATAACTTACTGGCAACATGCTCGCCGCCCTCAGCCCCATGCGACCGACCCGGCCCGTGGCCCACTAAGATCGAGAAAGACAGGCGCAGCCCCTCTCGCAAAGGGGGAAGCGCGCACGGGGGCAACAAGACGCCCACCTCCTCAAAAGGTGTCGTGCACAGCTGCCTCGGCAGAGAGGACAGGCTCAGGTTCAGGGGCGTCAGCCGTCTGGACCTCGTCATCATCGTCGCTGTCCTCATCGTCGCTGGGTACACCGCCAGCAAACTGAAGAAGACCATCACGCGTAGCCATGAGCGCTCGCAGCGACTCCGCCAGCTTGGGCGACAGGGACTCGAACTGCATGAGCAAAGCAAGGCCAGGGTCGTCGGCACCGACTGCCGCAACAGCTCCACCAGCGCGGGGACGACTTCTTGCAGGTAGCTGACTGACCGCCGCCCACGCTGCCGCAGCCTTGATCGACACCAGCAGCCCGCTCTTGAGACTGCACCTGGTCGAGCTTGGCTCTGGCCGCAACCAACTCCAAGGACTTTTCGTGCACCTCCTTCTCGAGTTTGGTGGCCTTGGCTTCGGCCTGCGCCACCTGCCTCTCGAGCTCGTCGTGAACCCACTGACTGTGCTTCGTAACGGCCTTGGGGTCACCCGCCGCCAGCACACGCTGCGCCGACACGAGGGCACGTTGACTTGGACCAAGAAGAGACTTGCTGGTTTCGAAATCATCACTGGACATCTTGACGAACACCGCCAACTGGGACTCGTCGAGCAGCTTGGGCTTGGCCTTGGCCACCTTGGGAGGCCCGTTGGCCCAATCCCCCTTTGGAACACGAGCAGGAGGAGAAGCTGGAACCACAGGGCGCTCAGCACCACACATATAGCAGTGTTTCTTCCACGCGAAAGTTTCCCTTCTCCTCCTCCTGTTCCTCCTCCTCCTCCTCTTCCGTGTTCGGGTCTGCCCCTCCTCTCCTCACCCCCTCACATCCCTGTTCTCCTCTATGCTCTCCCCCTCTCCCCATGCCCTCCCCCGTAGACGCTACCCCCTCTCCTTACTCCCGTGCTCCTTTCTTCTGCCCCCTGCAGAGCGGGTCGCCGCAACGCGGAGCTTGACCGCGTTGAAGAGCATCGCCCTGAGCGTCGCTAAAGCATCGACGACACGCAAGAGCGCACATGGGCAAGAGTCGCCTTCGGTGCGCGGGATCAAGGTGCCGCGGGGGGGAGGGGGAAAGGTAATTCCAAGCGCGCAAGCGAGTGCTGGGGGTACCTCTGTTCTCACGCACCAGAAGTCATTATTAGAGAGCAGAAAATCCACCCCGATAATAACCACCCCGACACGCGAAGCCGTTTCGTAAACGCACCCAAAGGAATCAAACAGGGCAGGGCTGTTTAGTAAACGCCTAAACGCCGATTGTCCAGACCGGGTGGTGTTTCCTCCCTTGGATTTGGCGGAGCGTCGGGGGAGTCAGCGACCAAGGCGACGGCGTGGCCAGGGCGTTCGGCCGAGAAGGCCGACGAGAAGCGTGCGGCAAGCGCATGGCCACTTGCAGCGACGACGGCGACGGTGGCAATGCCAGCGGACGCAGCGCCGCGACTCCGACAGCGATGGCACTGGAAGCGACGATCCGATCGGTTCTGTGCCCCGTGCTCACTCCCTCCCGTGCTTCAGCACTGGACCGATGTTCTGCCTCGCCGTCTGCACTCGCCTTCCGCACCACTCTGCCCGTCCGCTCCGCCACCCGCTCCAGGCACCGCCGGCGTCCGAGGACGTCGAGTCCTGGGGGACGAGGGCCAACACACACACACACACACACAAACCGCCCAGTTGTTGGAGCCCAGCCCAGAGATCCGACGTCGTGATTTTTTCAATACGGGGCCCCCGGAGGTCTCGACCCGTTCCCCGGGACCGCTTTTTCATCCTGAGTCGTTTTTTGACGGTCCCGGGGCCCGGCGAGGGCCCTTTGAGGCCGAAACTTGCGAAAAACCTCCGTCTTGATTTTTTCAATACGTTGGATCTCTGGGAGGGCGGCCCTTTTTTCCGCGACGCAGGCCCTGGGAGGTCTGACGCCCTGCTCCCCCCCGCGCTCAATCGCTCGTCCCGAATCTGCCTCTGCCGGCCCTGGGGTCCGGCCCCGGCCCCCGCGCGCCGAAGATCGCCGGGCGACCCCCGCCGTGACTCTCTCGCGGCGCGCTGGGGCCTGGCCCCTCATCCTCGAGAATGAAGGGGCTCCAGGACACACAAATAAATACACACAAATAAACATATTCCCCATATTTTCCTATATTTTCTCGGTTTTTGTCTTCCCAACCACTTCCCATATTTTCCCATATTTTCGGGGAATCGACGATTAATTGTGTCTGTGTGTTTTTTCCCCTCCTGATCCTCGAGAAGCGGGCCCGGCCTCAAAGAACCAGACGGTGGCAGGGCAGAGGAAGAACAAACCTCATGCGCATAAGCCTTTGGCGCTCCGCGCGGATTTCTTGGATTCGCGCCGGACCCCTCTCCCTGGCGCGCTCCGGCGCCAGGGGCGGCGCCGGAGGCGCCGCCGGGGGGGCCCAGCGCGGATCCAAGAAAGCCGCGCGGAGCGCCAAAAGTTTATGTTTGTGTGGCTTTTTCTTTGTCGAAATGGGCAAACCGGGCACTTACACACCAAGAGCGGCCGCCCGCGGCCGCGCAGTGGCCAACGCGTGCAGGAATCCAGCCCACGGCAAGCTCAAGCCTGGCGAGCCGCCGGGGCCCACCGTGGCCATGCATCGGACACCGCATCGATGCCCGACGGCCCCAGGGCCCCCGGGAGGCCGAGGAGGGGGGGGGCAACGACAGGGGGGTCTGGCATAGCTGGGGATGCATCGACCTGGAATCGGCGATACATCGCCGATAGATCGGCGACAGGCCTCCGAGAGTGAATCCGCACCCTCCTGGGCAGGCTGGGGCTTTTGGGCCTCTATCGGCGATCAGTGGGCGATTGGGGGTCGATGCATCCCCCCCTGTGTCCATCCCCCCTATCGTTGCCTCCGAGCACTACACACCAAGATCGGCCATCCGCGGCCGCGCAGTGGCCAGCTCGTGCAGGAATCCAGCCCGCGGCAAGCCCCAGCCCGCGAGCCGCCGGCCATGCCTCGGACACCGCATCGATGCCCGACGGCCCCAGGGCCCCCAGAGGCCGAGGAGGGGGGCCTCAGAGAGCCAAGATGGCCTCCAAGATCGCTCAAGATAGCCCAACATAGCTCAAGATAGCTACCAGCATGCCTCCAAGAGGCCCCAAGAGGGCCACAAGCCGGTTCCAGTTGCTTGGGTGACCCCTCAGGACCTCCCCGAGAAGCCAAAATCCTTCAAAAACCTTCACTGGTGTTTGGGGGGCGGCGAGGGCGCCCGCCCGCAAGATAGGTCAGCATCGAGTCGGGAAGTCGGATCGAGTCGGAATCGGGATCGGATCGGAATGAGGGCGGCCACGGGCTGCGTGCTGTATCGGTGAAGCTGAACGGGGCAGCAAACACACACACACACACAGACACACACACACACAAACACACACACACAGACACACACACACAGACACACACACACACACACACACCTTGGGCTAACACACTTCCTGAGGATCATCGAAATCGGGTAGATCAGTATCGAATCAACATCGGATCGGGCCGCATCGGCACGGAGTCGAGATCCAGTCGGATCGGCTGCACCAGAAGTGCCCAGCAGCGCTGCACGAGCATCGGGCCGCATCGGATCGCTGGTAGCCGAAATAAAAACCGAATCGGGTCGAGCTGGCCGAAGCCGACATCGAATCGGATCGATCGGATCGGAGAGGGCCCCGGCCTGTGCCTCTTCCGGGCCATCTTGCGCATCAGGAACTTCGAGATGATCCCGCTCGCCCAAAGCTCCTCGCGGGAGCCCGCCGTGTGCCCTGCCGCCCGTAGGCCGCGATCGGCACCTCCACCCGGCCCCTCCCCCCATTCCCTCCCCACCCCCACCTCGTTCCCTACACAGAAGAAGGTATCTGCACACCCTGAGACCCAGGGAATGCCACTGCTGTCACAGAGGGCGTCTTCGCAAGGTTTGGGCCCCGGGGCCATCATCAAGATCGAAAAATACAGAAGAACGATCGGGTCGAGGGCTCCAACCGTGATTCTTCGCGATGCTGTAGTTTTTGCTCGCAGATTCGGATCTCAGGGCGCCACCGCCGCAGTGAGGGGGACGAGGAACTGAGAATTCTAGACTTCCGCCCCATGAGGCCCCCGGGAAGCCCCAAGAGGCCTCTAAGAGGCTCCAAGAGCGCTCAAGCGGCCCCAAGAAGCTTCCAAGAAGCCCCCAGGGAGCCCCAAGAGGCCCCAAAACTGTTCCCCAGAGGTTCCCGAGAGCGCTCCGAAGAGACCCACGTCAGCGTCGTCGTCCTCGCCGCATCCTCCCCCTCCTCCTCCTGCCACTCCTCCTGCCCCTCCTCCGTAGTCCAAGACGCAATCCTGAGCATCAATCCGTAACACTAGCCGTTCATTAACGCTCATACATAACAGTAATTCTTAAAACGCACTCGTAACAACAATCCCTGATACGAATACATAAAAACAGTCCACGCACACATTCTGAACACCAAACCTTAGCAGCAATCCTCATCAGTACTTCATTGCTCTGGGATCCAAGCCCGCCCTCCAAGCCTTTCTGGACACTCTGGGGTCGCGACGGACACCCCCGCAGAGAAACTCCGGGTTCCAAAACAAGTGGGGCGGCGGTGTCTGCCCCCTCAGGGGCGTTCAATTAATTATCCCAGTGCGACCCTACCTAGGAGTTGGAGCATCTAGGAAAGCAACATGCTATGCTATGCTATGCTGCGCTATGCTATGCTATGCTATGCTATGCTATGATGTGATATGCTGCGTTATGCTATGCTATGCTATGATATGCTATGCTATGCTGCGCTGTGCTATGCTGAGCCAAGCTATGCTATGCTGTGCTGTGCTGCGCTGTGATGTGCTAAGCTATGCTATGCTATGCTATGCTATGCTGCGCTATGCTATGCTATGCTTTGCTATGCTATGTTATCTATGTTATGTTAATGCTGCGCTGCGCTGCGCTAAGCTAAGCTGGGCTAAGCTAAGCTAAGCTAGGTTAGGCTAAGCTAAGCTAAACTAGGCTAGGCTAGGCTAAGCTAAGTTAAGCTAAGCTAAGCTAAGCTAAGTTAAGCTAGGCTAAGCTAAGATAGGCAACGCTAAGCTAAGGGGACGTAACTGGGGGAACCTCGGGGCGGATCCTGGGGGAGCCGCCCGGGGCGAGGCCCACTGCCCGGCCCCTTTAACATAGAGAGTAAGAACCCTTCTAGGCAGAGCCTAGGTAGGGAATAAACATGTGAGCTATGTACTGTGGAGGAGGTGGCGGCAGGTGAGCAGGAGGAAAGAAAGATAGTGCAAGGACCAGCATGCCAAAGTGCTCGGCCCTCATGAATACCGCTAGCGGATCGGCTTGACCCGCTCGGTGGGCGTGAAATTCTCCCGCACGATGTATGCACCCAATCGAACGGATGCCACCAACATGCGAGACCTCTCCTCAGTACTCGGCGCGGCTGAGTAACACACCCAGCCACTCTTGCTCGTAACTCTGGGCACCGAGGCCCAAAACGTACTACTCAACTTCAACTCTCGAGCCAGCTCCTTCCTCATATCCTCGAAGTGCGGGCACTCCTGGAAAAGGTGGCGGAGGCTCGGGAGCGGGCAGCTGCACCACTTACAACATTTGTTCACCTGCATTCTGGTGTACGTCTGCCCTGCACCGCTCCGAAAAATCGTCGCACTATGCAATTCATCCGCACTCAAGCTTTTGATGTATGTCTTGAATATCTGGCTGCTACTCAGATCGACATCAACATCCTCGATGCCCTCAACGTCTTTTCTCGTAAGATGTACTGCACGCAGACAAGCCAATCGAGCCGCGGCACGTACAGCATGGGCCCCACCTGGGGCCTCAGTCCAGAACTTATCCTGGGGGTCACGTACTTGGGCAGTCACACGGAGCACTCGAGGGTCAGCACCAGGAGGGGCCCGAAGACAAACTCCCCATTCAGCGCTGTGGTCAATATACTCAAGGTGTATCTGTGCATAATGGGCCACAAGGGCTTTCCTCAAGAACTCACTCTGGGTCAGGTTCTCGGAGCGGACGGATTTCATGATCTGGAGACACGGCGAATATAATGGATGGAGCTGTACTCTCTGGGCCCACCAGCGGCCCGAGCACCACCACGTATTTGCAGTTCTCAGTATGGCGTGAAAGAGGGCCCCTGGGGCCCATCGAGGCACTGGCTCGACCAGGGGGGGTCGCCCAGAGCCACAAGGGCCTCACGTAGGCCGCAGCAAGTCTTTCCCGAACGGCAGCAGCCCCAGGGAACGCCTTCAGCACACCCACGGCCACCTCGAGCTTTTTCCAGCCTCCTCGAGGCCTGATCGGTTTGTCGGAGTCGGCGGGATCACACATCACCCCAAGATGCTCAATGTCATTCTCCTTCCCCTCCTCCCAATACTGGCGCTTCGACAGGTTCTCCACGAAACCTACGTCGTTGTCAAAAGCTTGAGTCCGAGCGAGGCCCTCTGCGAGATCCTGCTCAGCTCGGGCTCCACCCGCCGTCAGCGAGCGGCCGCCCATGCATGCCCATCCTCGGGCGGGCTCCGCCCGCCAAGGAGTGAGCGCCGCAACCATTGCCCCTGGAGCACACGAATCTCCCTGAGGCAATCCTTTGGCCACCCAGATCGGTGACGACAACTCATTCTGCACACAACAGACTCTGGGTCCTTTCCAGGCGCACAAACACACATGAATAAGTGCTGCTGGGGCCTTCTCTGCTTGTAATGCTGCCACTGCTACATAGTGATCCACATTGTCATATGCTTTGCTCAGGTCCATTTCTACCCCTCTTGTGGCCCCAACAGAAAGCCACGCCGAGATAGCATGGCTGACACTGAAGCCTGACTTACATGCATACTGGTTCTCCGCCGCTGTCGGCAGAGCAACTGCGAGTGCTGAAAGCCAACATCTCACCAAGCTAGACGCCACTGAGATCGGCCTCGACTCATTCTCATCCTTCTTCGGGATCCCGACCACCCTCCAGACGAAGAGCTCCTTCAGGAGCCCAGCCTCGAGCCCCCCCTGGACCGACACCGCGTGGGCCGCGGTGTCACACCAGAGGATGTACAGCTCATCTATGATGAAGGGGGCGACTTTCAACAACAAGCGAACCTCGGAGGCCTTCCAACCGTCCATACCTTCCGCTCCTTTGCATTTCTTGATGGCTGCGATGAAGCCTTCTTTTGTCGGGGCCCAATCATCGGGCATGCTGCTCGTCGGGATCGGTTTGCTGTCCGCCCTCGCTTTTGCTTCCCACCGCTTCCAGTTGAGTACTTTGTTATGGCTCTCGTACGACTCGGGCTTCCAGACGGGCCCCCACTCGGCCCTCATCCCCTCGCTGTCGAACCCAGGGCTGGGGGCCCCCGCTTTGAACACCGGCGTGGCAAGCTTCCAGAGGTCGTTAGACCATTCCCGAAACCGAGCTCCCCAGTGCTTGCGCTTCTCATCAGCCACCAGACGCTCCTCGTACGTGATGGCTCGACTGACTACATCCAGCAGCTGACCGTACGATGGCCACCCGTCTAGATGCCGAATCAACTTATCCTGCACTGCCGCCGTGTAGGCGCTCATGTGCCTCAGGTCGAGGCGAGCGCCAGCACCCTGATGGGCACGGACTTGATGCAAACAGGCTCTATGTAGTCGGCGCAATCGTCTGAGAGCGACCGACTCAGCAAGACAATGAGCGGGAGGATGAGCACAAGGTTTAGCGGTAGGATATGTTCCCTTATCCCGTTCAGCTGCACGTGCTACTTTAACCCATCCCCGAACTGCTGCTTCTTCTAATGCGTGCTCAGCTCTAGCATGCCATACTTTCAATTTCGTCGATGTGTCGATATCGAGTCGAGGCTTCGGGATCATCGAGTCACATGCTTGCTCGATCTGCTGCTGCTCATGCTCGTTTACGAACGCGATGGCGGCCTCCTCGAACAAGGCCGTGTGCCGAAGGCGTGTGAGAGGGCGTTGCTGTACAGGACACTGGGACACCTCAAAGATACACATGCCATGATGCGGTATGCCCTCGATGAAGTGGGTGCCTACGTGCTTGGGGGGTTCACTTTCTTCAGCCATCCATCTCAAGCATCTGGACGGTGACGTGCTCGCTGTCGTGGTAGGGCACGTGTTTGACGTAATAGACCACCCAGGGCCCGCCAGCCTAGAATATCTAGAAACCCAATTGAGGTCCCCGACGAGGATGGTGTGGTTGCTCAGCTTCTGGGCCCAGTCGAGAGCCCTGCGTACCCAATTTATATCTCCCCGAACTGGCCCACATCCGCTCACGACGGCGATGGTCGCCGTCTTCACAGCTACAGCACGATGATCGAGATCTTTATCACGTTGAACCGTCACCTTTCCGATACCTCTGCGCCACAGGACTGCTGTCCCACCATGCCCCTGCGATCCAGACGACGACGGCGGAGGAGGAGGAGAGCAGGCAACTCCCCATCCGTAACTGCTGGCCAGCGATACCAGCCACTTGGGCCGAAGCTCCCAGTTCTTGATTTCTTGCCATGCCATGATGTCAACTTGCTTGATTTATTTATGCTTGCTGTTGCTCTTGCTCTGGTCAAAGCTGTGACGCTTACCGAAGCGATCCTGCACGGTCCCGAGGTGGGAGTAGTAGGTTGCTTCCCAGATCCGCCTCCGAGCAGAGGATCTTGACTTGAAGTGAAACATTCGACAGAAACTGCATTGGTGAAACCTTCCACAGAAACTGCATGAGTGAAACTTTCCACAGAAACTGAATTAGTGAAACGTTCCACAGAAACTACATTGA